GTTGTGTGTTTCGTGGAAATTCGATCGATGGTAAGACAAGCCCGGCCGTCCTTTTAAAAAAAAACATACTAGACAATCCCGGCCGTCCTTTTCAAAAAAAAAACATAGTAGATAATCCCGTCCGCATTAATTCGTGGCTCTGAACATGTATTGCCCTGAATTTTTAACAGACATATGAAACGCACGTCTCTTTGTGGACCGTTCTAGCTACCCCGGCCAGTCCCCATATATCGTCTCACATCCATAGGTACGCCTGGTCAAGCGACAAAATGTCTACAAGCGCTTGCTTGTGTGATCTGATCATCAAGATACGCGAATGCACTCTTGTATGTATTCTTATTATTAGTAGACTAAAACTAGTTGTTGATATGTACTGCGCAACAACCGGCGCACACTGCACTGCATGTTTTGGATGAGGATCAAACAATCCATTCCGGCTTTGGTTTTGGTTAACAATAATGATATCCGTACCAAGGAGTTGTGATCTGATCCGAATGCAGTTTGTCCACTCGTAGGAGCAACCGCTTCAGCTCAAGTTTGTCGTTGAATCGACTTTTGGATTAGTGCTATTGTAATGAATTACTGATTCAAAAGTATTGACCAAAACACACTGATTCATCAAACGAATTAAATTGGACAATTTTCTGCAGTAACGGCCATTAATCATGTACAGTACTTATGAACGAATGAATCTATACGTGCTGGAGCAGGATGCACGCACATTGTTGACATGGTGATTCTTGCTTATCTTCTCGTCAGAGGTCGACAGAATAGATAAATAGTAATATACGGCCTAAGTAGGAGTAGCACTTTCAGAGAGTTATTAATTAATTGGCATACGTCTGCATCTTCCAGAAGGAAAGGGACGAATTTCTTCTTGATTAGAAGGAGAAACGGTACGTCACTTCCAGTTTCAAGACTGAACTAGTCTTTCACTTTTCATTGCACTTAAAAGGAATCAACCAATAGTCAAGACAACGCACATATGCAGTCATCAGTAACTTGATTTGCCCGGGTGGCCGGCTCTACATTGATCTATATATAGATACGTAAACTTAAGTGGGAGATGAAGCAATGGTAACGTCCTCATTAAGAAATTTTTGTAGGTAATAAACAACAACCTTAAATTGAAGACCATGACCAAAGAATCATACTGACCGCCGGCTCGTGGATTCATGTGAACATTACTGATGACGACCTAAGACTAGTAGCTGCAGCCTTGTGTTCATTCCGCTGTAAATATAATATATCACTGTGCGAGCTGATGATCGATTCATCGATCTGTTCACTGTTCTACAACTTCTAAGGGATCGGAGACGCTAATACTCAAGATGCTCGCTTTTCTCCTTTCTTTTTCAGGCGACCAATCTGAACCGTTGGATGCCAATCCAAATGGCTCACAATTCATCTTCGACTAATTTGATATCTTAACCATTCTTTAGCTCGCCTGACGACCTTCCGACGCTGCAGTTGTCTGCGCTCGCCTCGCCGCCACAGGTCCGCTGCACTAACCCAGCTTTGCCTGTGCCGTCGCCCGTCGCCGCCGTGCGCCCTCGTCTGTTCTCTGCCTACCGAGGCTATCTCCCCAGTCCCCACCGCCCATACTCTAAACAGGGGTATTAGTGTTGTCAGTTTTTTTTAGTATTTGTGTTTAAAGCCTTCTAAGAATTTGTTTTAATTAATGGATTATATTAGTATATGCAACTTATGTTCACCATATTCACATGGAGCTCCGCACTTTAAGTACTGTAAATATGATTAACACGAACAAATGCTTGATGGAATGAGTTGCATCAAGCAATTGGTTATATTCGCAGCAATGCAGGTGCATCGGAATGCATGCAGATTGTAGAGATAGGATGTAATCCAGAGCAACGCGATTTCTTATAGTCCACTTGATACACGTAACGTTTTATCTATTGCTTAGAACTTTGAATCTTTGATCATGACATGCTTCTCACCCAACTTGAGCTTCAAGCTTATAATACGGGATGTGTCCTGTCTGTGTTTTGATCAACATTTTTTTGACAACAAAGGCATTGGACAGTGTCTGTCTATATTAATAAAGCAGAAGAATGGTTAGTTTTTCTGCAGTTTTAAATATAATGTTTGACACCTCAACTGTTTGGGACGAATGGTCTGAAGATAACAGCTTTCTATTCCAAATTTATTCCTATTGCATGATCAAGTCGCCTACAACTACAACCTTAATTAGTGATTAGAATAATGCACACACAAAAAACAAGACCTACAAACAAAAACATCCGTTTCTCAGCAGAAAATATAGAACAAGTTGCGCATATTTAACACGTTGGTCTTGATACAAGCAGCAATAATTAAGGTGTTAATCATGTCAGACATATGCTAATATATATCATTCAAAAGCTGTTAGCTATTATATATTTCTCTCATTTGTTTCATTGTTTGTTAGTGGTTTCAAACCGCAGCTGCCTCTGTTTGGGTTCAGATCATATGCTCAGTTTTCGGTTGTAGTCCATGTTGTTTTTGTGTAGATTACTAACTGATTTGGAAACTAATTAGGTTAGTGTACAAATTGCCTGCCTTACCTATATATGCTGATTATATTCATGGGCATGATACTCAATTATTGTGGCTACTAACCTCCTTAAAACTAAATAAGCTGCTGAGAATCATCTAGAAGATCGTCTTCTATCTTTATTTAATTGACTAGATTACTTATAATTTAATAAATACGTCTTGATAAGAGAAATAGAGTTGGGTGAATGTGTTTTCTTTATTTTCCTCGACTTGTTAGTTGTGGTCTATGCTACAATCCTAAGTGAGTTGTCCCCGTTGTTAGTAGAGTGGTTTAGTCAAGTTGTTAGTTGTTTTGTATTGAGACCAAGCTGGCCCTTCCTAGACGTGTGTTTTTTTGGGCATAGTTTTCAAGGCTATTACAGCAAGATGCTTGGTTCTCTGGTGTATTCTGCCAAAAATATTAAGGTGAACAGCACAGGTCCGCCATCCCTCAGATGACGCGCAGGCCTCTTGTGTAGGCACAACAAGGAAGAATATTTGTAGTAGCAGTAAGCCAGTAATACATACTATAACTATAAATTGAGCGTAGCTTAGCTAGTTGGTTTTCTTAGGATGAACTTGTCTATCTAGGTCTAAGTTCTCGACTTGATTTGCTATGGGTGTTTGAATTTTCTAGATTTATTCTAGTAGCTAATGACGTGTCGTTCTTTCAGTGATAGGTGATGTTCATACGACTAAGAGTGCGTGCATGTATGAGTATCTATGTTTGTGTTGTGAATCAAATAAAAAGTCCAAAAAAAATCTTTTGCACTCCATTATAATAATTGTGAATCATGACAAATAGGAAGAACTGAACAACCGACAGAAATGGGAGAGCATATAAAAATCACAGTTTTAGCCGTCCAATGATTTCATATCATTCCCTTTCAGAATTAATAGTATGTCAGTTTCTATCAATTTTATAGATTATTCTAGTATTTAATGATGTTGTTCTTTCAATGGTGGTAGGTGATGTTGTACGATTGAGAGTGCGTGCATGTATGGGTGTTTATGCTTGTATTGTGAATCAAATAAAAAGTCAAAAAAAAATCTTTTGCACTCCATTATAATAATTGTGAATCGTGACAAATAGGAAGAAGTGAAGAACCGACAGAAATTGGAGACATGGAGAGCATATAAAAATCGCAGTTTTAGCCGTCTAATGATTTCATATCTTACCTTTTCAGAATTAATAGTATGTCAGTTTTTATTGATTTATTCTTCAACGAATTAAAAGGAAAACTTGATCAGCGGAGTCCTGTAGTATCTAATTTTCTTTGCCACTTGCTAGTAGTATTTGGAAAGTTTTCATCTTTGGACTTGGTTTCTCATACGGTCATTTTCAGTATCAGTATTCACTATTCAGTACCGCCGCTGGCTAGGTCAAATAGAGGAGGTGCTTAATTTAGCATCGAAGGATGGGCACATATATTCGCATGAACTCAGCTTCTCACCAACAACGTCCAAAAAGATACTGCTTGTTTTGAGCAGCTACTATCTAGGAGCGGCCGGTGTGTGATTTAGCGTGACATGTGCACGCATTCTCCTCTTAACGTGACTTTCTTCCACTGAAGAACAAAGAAACGACGAAACTATCGATATATGCTCTCGCTAAATGACAAGTACATAGAGAGATGATAGGTCTTAACTACATCGAGAGTGAGAGAAGATAAATGGTACCGAATGTGAATTGAATATGTGATAGGAAGAAAGATATGAAACTATCGATATATGCTCTCGCTAAGAAAACGAATAGTTGCCTTTCTAAAAAAGAAAACGAATAGTTGAGCTCACAAAAGAACATCACATCCCTTAATTAAAACAAATGGACACTTGCAACTTCCAAGTACGCATGAAAAAAAGGAAAACTGAAAAAGAACAGGACCTCACTCAGAAAATACAAAAAGAAATAGCTGTTGCCGCCCAGGATCGAACTGGAGACCTTCAGTGTGTAAGACTGACGTGATAACCACTACACCACGGCAACAACTTTTGATTATGCGCTAAATTAAATATTGACATTCTAACCCTTGTCCTTTGTAAACTAAGCCCTGTTTCTCAAGTTCAAAAAAGTTCCAGTGCATTCCTTTTTCTTCTTCTAATCAGGCCTTAAGCGGTCCTATATTCTTATGGGCTGTAATTGATTCCTCGACAATAGTTTGATATTAGTCCGTACGTTGTACGGAGTAGCTTTGGAAGCTTTTCCTGACGAATGCTACTCAAGCGTATGAGAGTTATTTAGTTATGAGAACTGGCTCTAAAACTGGCCATGCATCGCTTGTCAAGAAAGACCAACTCCTTATCCCAAAGAATAATCGTTGCTAAGCTTGGTGCAGCTTATGACAAATTATACAGATTTGAACCTGTGATCCAGGCCAACATGTACATTCTGCACAAATCTAGGATTCCTTGTAAATTAGCACACAAGGGGTACCGTGAAAATTCATACATATACGGGGCTTCTAGAATGTCCCATACATGGATGCGAAGAACATCTTGTTGGTCACCCATGCTTGACATGGATTACCTAATCCAATTTTCAGGGTCTTGGCAATGTATCCATCTGTTCGGGTATAGTAGATCAATGGCAAAATTGAATATGCACCTGCAAACAGAAACTAAGATTTCAGTCTTTGCAGCAAAGCTTCAGAGTTCAGACATACACTGTATACGACCTCCGGTCAAGATAAGCTTCTGATCGTAGGCGACATTTCAATTTGTTATTGTTGGTCAGGACAACAAAGTTCTCGCAACCGGAGGTAGTACATATACATATCACATATTCGCAACCAAGATACATAGCTAAACCAAATCGAGTTGCAGAAAATATAAAGAGCGCAAAGTTTTAGCAAATGATAGGGGAAAACAATTCATTGATCTCCAGAATTGTGCAGTACTGTGGTTTCAAGATGCAGAGATTGTCCTCCATGCCAGCCTACCTAGATTTTCCCCTGCTTAGGATTTTATTATAACAGAAAAAGTTTGAAAGCCACCGTGTCACAATTCATGCAACACCAAAAAGTAACAATGCTGCACCAAATTACCTAAGTAATGTCTGAGGTAACTGCCAGGCAAATTTAAGAATTGGCACATTCATGAGCAGTTCCAACTTCTGAATTTGCAAATCCCTCGACGTCCTTGAACAAATGACATGCGGATCGATTCAACCATGCAGGATACAGCAGGAGATTCTGACAACTCAATTTCCTGCTCCTGTTGATACGGATTTAAATAAATACATGCACACATGGAGGTAAAAACAAAACGATGGGCAAGCATGCATACCAATTCAGCCAGTCTGTCTTCAAAGCTACTCTTGTTAGTAATAGTTGGCATAAATACTTTCTGATAAGCTTTCCTCAACCTACGGACCTTGATTTATGAAGATTCCATGTCAATCTTACAAGATAGCCAAAATGTAAATAGTTGCAAATTTCTAGGCCATAGTGTAATTAAGGATGTGGTGTACTTTTAAAAAATGCATTGCAAATTTCGTTTATGACCAAAGTTTCATTATTCCCAGACGTCTTTCCAATAAGGTCCTGTTCAGTTAAAAAACTTTTCCCATGGGGATTAAGGGGAAAATGAACTAGTTACACCCCCCCCCCCCTCTCCAAAAAAACATTCCAAACTGAACAAGCCCTAAGGCACCAAGCAACTAGCAGGCCTAGTGTGAAGAAACATTGACTTTGATAACATTGATAAACATTTACCAAGACCAATGAATATAACATGTAAAAACATTGCATATACCCTCCCAAAACTCTGATTCAATTACCAAACAAAGCTAAGTACTGTGAACAATTGCATTTTATTAATAAGGACTCCAAATTTCAATACATATGAAAACCTCTTGGTCGGAGAATCCGTTGCGCCTGAGACCTTCAATATTCAGACCGCGGAGCTCTGCTCTATCACCTGCAACCATCATGTACCTTGGCACATCTTGTGCAACCTGATTCAAATTTAATGAATGAATTCTGATAGCATATAAATAAAAAACTTGATATTCAAAAAGGTTAAACAATGCAAGTGTCATCACAAGGTGGCAACTTCAACATAGTGAGAGCTACAATTCAATCAGGCTTCAACAAGCAGATAGAGGGAAAGAAAACACTGTGGAAACAACTATTGAATAAATGATACTAACTGTGAGAGACTGAGAGCCCCCTTGGTGAGAAAATACAGCATAATTGATAATCCATGAACTCCAGGTAATCATGTACCTATTCCTCAGGAAACACCATAACATCAAGTGCATTCTGATTCTCCTGGTTCCTATTTACCCATTTTTATTTTGTGATAATACATTTTTTTTCATAGTTTGCAGGCATGGTTGGTAAAACTACATGAAGTTTCATTTTTACCATAAAGCTCTGCAGTAAGTAATGCAGATCAAATTTATGTAGAAAACATACCACAGAGCCTCCACCAAGAAATGAGTATGACCCAATATGACAAAATTGATGGACAACAACAGCCCCTGCAGTGTGAGTCCAGTCCTGAAAAAAAATGTTTTTAATAAGCAAATGGCCCCTCAACCCAGTTGACGAGAAGAAGCTACCAATAGTAAAATTATTACTCACTTCAACAACTACATGGCCAGCAAATAGAGTATTATTAGCAAAGATGTTATTGTTACCAATCTTGCAATCATGAGCTATATGGGACGAACCCATAACGAGATTATTGTCACCAATAACCTGCCAAACAGATCCCTCGAGTAAGATAGGGGATATAAGCTCTGTTAAAATCTTGTGATCGAACAAGAAATCCGAATACCGTGCAGTCACAAGATTTAGAAGAACGGTGAATAGAGCAGTGCTCTCTGATCTCGTTATTTCTACCAATATGTAGAAAGCATTCATCTCCAGTCTAAACAAGAGGAAACGGACATTAATAGTTTCCACAGAAAAAAGCATTTCAAGTAGCCAAACAACATACTCATTCTATACATGAGAAGTGTGCATGTGTGAGCCTAAACATCTCCATAACTAGTCCAAAAATGCAAGAACCTTTGGTTTTAAAGTTCATAGACATACTTTATATGAATGGTAAGTAAACTCTTGTGCCATGTCCCATGTGGCAATTTTATTACAGAACCTGCAACTTTCTAGTGACTATATTTAAAAAAAACTAACCTTATATTTCAAATCTTGGCATTTTGCACCAACAACAGCATAGAGTCCGATGGCATTGTTTTCCCCAATAATTGTCCGCCCAGGGATATCTGCACCAAGGATAGCACCACTGCCAGAAAATTAAATTCTGAAGTATCAATTGAGACAGATTCATGTTGTTCAGATATCACATTGTAAGGTATATTAGGGGTTTGTGATATGATGTGTTATCCTTGATTTTGCAAATTCAGGCATAGAGTGCCGTTTCCTATGGTTCAGCTGTTAAGAAACAAAGTAATTGCGCCAAGCAACTCTATATGGTGAATTCAATCTCCTTTGTTATTTTTCATCAAAAATATTGTCACGTGTGTCCTTGCCAAGTGCTCTAGAGTCAGGAGGGACCGAGGGAGTGATACTCCACCAATGATAGAGAAGCAACAAGACAAAAACTATTTTCAACTGCTTATCTGAAACACCCCTAAATCAAAATACTGGAACTGGAACTCCATCTCATGTGCTGTTGTGATGATATCAAATTATGTGTTGGTAACAGCAATCCATGCTTAATTTGGTTGTAGTTTTGTTTCACAGAAAACGTTCAATGTATCTTTCTTTGCTTCAATTATATGTCCAAATATGGATTTCCTATGTAGGTCACTGTGAGCATCAACATATTATTCACAAAAGGGGCGCAAATCAGGAGGCAAAAGATAGAAAAAGATGCTATCTCACGTTTGAACAACGCATCCCTCCCCTAGCTCAGTATCTCCCACGACATGGCTCCCGGCATGTAATTGACAGGCGTCACCAACTCTGGCTGAAGGCCCAACCGTGCAAAAGGGGCCTATCGATACACCCTGCAAAGTGGTTCCAGGCACAGAGAAAGATTGAGTTTTCTACTGTAAAAAGAAGTCCAGTAAAAATACTGAACACATAAGCCCCTGTAGATGGAATCATCTTATATTGTGAATATCTGTATCAGGCAAGCAGAATTAAGTAGCAAGCACGCCCACTGCATGAGCCTAATAGAACAACCCAAGCAACGGCGGATCCATCAGAATATACTGAAGTGCAGAACTGCACATTCTACGAGAGCGATCAGTGCGTGGGAGCGAACGAGGGGGGCTTCACCTGCCCGATGGCTGCATCGGGGTGGACGACGGCGGCGGGGTGGATGAAGCTCCCGGATGCCTCCCGCGCCGCTGCCTGGGAATCACCTGCAGGCCACAGTGGGGGTTGAGAATGAGAAAGCGATCTGACGCGAGCGGCAGAAGCGGTAGAGGCTGATGAGATCAGAAGAGATAGGTGAAAGGAGTGAGGGAGCGAGAGAGAAAGCGCGTACTTGCATGGTGAAGGCCCGTGGTGGTAGTCTGGAGCCGAGACGAGAAGTGCCGGCGCGCGGCGCGGGCGGCGGCGGCGGCGGAGGACATGAGTAGCAGGGCTTTGAGTTTGGGGGGAAGCCGGGAATGATGTCAGCCGTGCCTGGGTCAGCCGTGCTTGCGGTTTTCGGGCACCTGCCCGGCTGTCGCTGAGTCGCTGACGCAGCATGTGGTGCATACAACACACATCACTTCAGCGGTCCGTCAGGGAGCGCCCGGGCGGGCACGTCGCAGCGAAATGTATGGGGTAGGGGTGGGTTGACACTGATATGCAGTGTTAAACATAGACTAATCACAAAACTAAAGATTAAGACTAATTTACGAGATGAATCTATTAAACCTAATTAGTTCATGATTTGATAACGTGGTGCTACATTAAACATGTGCTAATCTATCCGGGCACGTGGCAGCGAAATGTATGGGGTAGGGGGTGGGTTGACACTGATATGCAGTGTTAAACATAGACTAATCACAAAACTAAAGATTAAGACTAATTTACGAGATGAATCTATTAAACCTATTAGTCCATGATTTGATAATGTGGTGCTACATTAAATATGTGATAATTATAGATTAATTAAGCTTGATAGATTCGTCTTGCTAATTAGTCTACTCCTGTATAATTAGTTTTATAAGCAGCTCATGTTTAGTCCTTCAAATTAGCATCCGAACGTGCGACGATGTGACACGGACTAAATTTTAGCCTCTGGATCCAAACACCACCTTAGGCAAAGTAGGAGTGATAATGGTCTTGTTCGCTTGAACTTATCAGTCATAAGACGGTGTTTTCTCTCACAACTCATAGTTCTAGTCGTTTTTCAATTAGATATCTAAATATTGTCATCTTATTGTCGGTGTTTTGAACAAACACCGGCTAGTAAATTTATAATTATGCGCGTTAGGCCCGGATGGTGCGCTAAAGAACACAAGGTTTATACTGGTTCGGGCTGAATGTCCCTACGTCCAGTCTGTTACTGCTCGTGTTATTAGCACAAAAAACAGTTAGTAGTAGGGGTATAAACGGTCGAGAGAGGGACTGATCCCAGATCTCTGATGGAAGGGTCGAAAGGGTGCTAAGAACCTGGTGGCGGCTTGGCTGTGTGCGTGATGTGGAACTGAACTCTTTATGAGCTCGTCTGTATGTGAGTTGTTCGTCCAAAGTCGGTCCCTTAGTGGGAAGCCCTGCCCTCTCTTTTATAGACAAGGGGGGAGCAGGGGTTACAGATGGGAGAAAGAGGAAAATACCGAGGGTATAAAAGGTCCTTCGAAGGATCTGGCTCTTCCTTTTTCCCTGCGCCTGCCCTGTATAACATGGCAGACAGTGTCAGGAGTGACGTGTTTGTTGATCTTCGTAGGCCATGCCCTGGCCTCATTTAGCAAGTGGGCGCATCCTGTCCCGCTCCCACGGGCGGCTTGTCGGACAGGGTTAGCGATCTCCGACCCCGTGGGGAGCGAATGGCGCGGTGACTGCTCGTTTGCCACTGTAGAGGATGGGAGTCCCTCCTTGGAACATAGTGGTTGTCGTATGTCCGTGTTGGGTTCTTCGCCTGGAGGCTGAAGGCGGCGCCTACAACTCTGTAGGGCGAAGAGCACGCGCCTGCAACACTATTCAGGCTCTGCCATGCCTGGAAGGGTCTAAGCGCCCGTCCCGTCATGCCCTGACGGTACTTTCCTGCAGGGGCGCAGGACATGGTCCTCGATGCCGCGATTGACCCGAACGTCTTGTCTTACCCTGTGCCTATCATCATAAGGGAGCGGGGTGCAGTTGTCAGGCGAGGCAGAGCCAGCCTTTGGACATCGGGCGAGGCAAGGTCCGCCCTCGGACGTCGGGTGAGGTGGAGCCTAGCTTTTATCCGTCGAGCGAGGCCGAGCCCAGCCGTCGGGGGTCGAGCGAGGTGGAGTCTAGCCCTCAGCCCTCGGGCGAGGCGGAGTCTAGCCCTCAGCCCTCGGGCGAGGCGGGGTCTATCCCTCGGGGGTTGGGCGAGGCGGAGCTGTCCTCCAGCCGTCGGGTGAGGCGGAGCTGGCCCACGGGTGTTGGGCGAGGCGAAACAAAACTCCCATCATTCGGGCAAGAAGCGCAGCAGTGCTCTTGTCCGTTCAAGAGTTTTTAACGTTCGATGGTTATTAGTTCCACCTCCTTGGATACCTCGGTATTAGGTCCCCGACAGTAGCCCCTGAGCCCTCGGGTGATTCGGACAGAATCGCCCGGGGGGTGTTTTGATTTCGTCGGAGTTAATTTTGCCGGAGGGTGCACGCGAGCGCACCCGATGGGTGTAGCCTCTGGGCCCTCGGATGATTCGAGTAGAATCGCCCGGGGGTGTTTCGATTATGTCGAAGTCAATCCGCTAGAGGGTGCGCGCGAGCGCACCCGGTGGGTGTAGCCCCCGAGCCCCGGGGGGATTCGAGTAGAATCGTCCGGGGGGTGTTTCGATTATGTCGGAGTCAATCCGCCAGAGGGTGCGCGCGAGCGCACCCGGTGGGTGTAGCCCCCGAGCCCCCGGGTGATTCGAGTAGAATCGCCCGGGGGTAGTATCGGACCCTCCGTGGGTAAGGCCGTGAGACTTGGTCTTTTATCAACTGGATATTTTTAAAGGGAATCGTGGTATCCCATTCGCGGGGATTTCATTCAGGGCCGGCCTGGCTGGGGCTCGACTACGGATCGAGGCCCTGACGATGCCTGCGTCCTTGAGTCCTGGTCGTTTTGCGGGCCCATCCTTCGTTGGGACGGCCCTTGGGCTTTGGGATCCTAGGTGGGCCGGAGAGAAAAAGCTTTGTGGCCCGTATTCCCTTGGTGGGAAGAGAGTCCTTGTCCGCTTGGGGAAGGCAAACCGCTCGACGCGACTTTCGTGGGAAGGGATAGGGATTGCGTGCGCGTGTCTCGTGACGTGACGCAGTGGTGCGTCGTGGCAGGCTCGGAGATCGAGGTGGACCATTGCCCTTCTCGCATCTGTCACCCCTATAAAACCACAGGGTTTGCCCCTAGGGTTCCATACTTCGCCTCCTTGCCCTCGCATTCTCAGCCTCCGTCGCCAATCGCTTGAGCTTCTCGCGCCCGTACTGCTCCCGCCGTCAAACTCGCTGCTGCCTTCTTCCCCGTGCTGCTCCCGCCATCGCAATGGACCCAGGGTACAAATCCAACATCTCCCTTCAGCACCTGGAGGGCCTCGTCTGCCGAGGCCTCCTTCGCCCGTTGACCGCCGCCGAGGAGTGGAGGCTGCCCGGTGAAGAGGATGAGCCACAGCCGCCTGAAGGGTATGTCATGTCTTTTGCTCACTTCCATGAGCGGGGATTCGCCATGCCCGCCCATCCGTTCTTTCGGGGACTGCTGGACTACTATAAGGTGGAGCTGCAGCACCTTGCTCCCAACGGGATCCAGCACATTGCGGTGTTCGTCGCCCTGTGCGAGGGGTTCTTGGAGATCAGGCCCCACTTTGACTTGTGGCGATATCTCTTCGCCGTCAATCTTGTGAAGAGGCGGGTCGGGAAGCAAGAACTGCACACGCTGGTGGGGTGCGCCAGCGTCTGAAAGGTCCTTGTTTGGTTTTGGTAATTGAGTGACAACCTAGGTGGACTAATTGTGTTTATGTGAGATACACAGGTGATTAGTCCACAAGTATATGTGTGTGAGCAACATATACCATGAAGGTGACAATGGCTTGGAGATGTTGCAAAGCTCACACATGTAATGATGAAGGAGCTTAATGCAAATGAGACATGACATTGAGTCATGTGATCAAGGTGGAGAAGATCAAGACAAGTCTTGGCTTGATGGACCGGTTGCAAGCGTGAAGGGCAAGTCGGAGGCTTTGGAGTGATGGACCGCGTGGCAGTGAAGCTTAAGCAAGACTTGGCGCCGATGGACGATGGCAACGGTGAAGAGAAAGTGAAGTCAAGATCGATGAACCAATATGATCACATGATGATATGAAGTGGATCATATCATTGTTGATCGTGTTGGTGCATGTGTTGCATCGACGTTGGAGGAGATGAAATGGAATGCGCAAGGCAAAGGTATAACCTAGGGCATTTCATTTCACCGGTCATAGGTGTGTAGAGAAGTTTATGACCGGGTTTAGGATAGATGGACGTACTATCAAGAGGGGCAAACTTGTTTGCATATCGGTCATCTAGTGCCACTCGAGTGATCTAACTTTGCATCGTTGCTAGGATCGAGTGGCGTGGCAAGTTGAGTGGCTAATCCTTTGGAAAATGATTGTGAAAATGCTAACACGCATACACATGGTGGTGTACACTTGGTGGGGTTGGCACATTTACAAAGGAGAAGAAGTTGGAGTTGATGTGGATCAACTCGGTGAAGAAATGGAGGCGAAAGGAGAAACTCTATCGGCGGAGTGTCCGCCCATAGAGTGCAGACAGTCCGACGGTGCCACCGGCGCCCTAGATAGAAAAGACAGGGTCTCATAGAGTGGACCGGATGCTGGTCACGTAGTGACCGGATGCTGGGGTCCTACGTCCGGTCAGAGCTGACGTATGGTGACGCAGGCAGAGCAGAAAAGCTAAGAGCGACCGGACGCTGGTGCTGTGTCCGATCGCATCCGACCGGACACGTCCGGTCATGTCTGGTACCTTACTGGAAACGACCAGACGTCGGGGTTGCTACGTCCGGTCAGTTCATGCTGGAGCGTCCGGTCGACAGATGACCATTGAGATCCAGTGAACAGCGTTTGAAGGAGGGGACACGTGGCGTGCATCGCACGATCGGATGCTGAGGTCCAGCATCCGGTCGATCGGATCGGAGCGTCCGGTCGTCCTGACTTTTGCCCAGTGAAGGGGTAACGGCTAGTTTATCCCTTGGGGCTATAAATAGAAGTGGCCCTCGGTCATGGCTAGTGTGGAGCACCTGAGGGGACTTAGTGTCCATGCTTGTGAGTGTTTGGGAGCCCTTCATCACACATATACTTGATAGTGATCATTCGATTGTGTGAGTGAGCGATTCTAGTGCGATTGCATCATGAGGTTGCATCGAGTGGCACTAGGTGATTGAGTTACAAGCCGGTGGTGCTTGTTACTCTTGGAGGTTGCCACCTCCT